CATTTCATAATAATTGAACGCACTTAAGCGTACGTTCTAATCTAGCTCGTGTATGTACTGGAATGAATGCAGCAAAATTTATTTGTTTATTTATTCACTTACTCAGTCAGTAATTACAATAATTCATTAAGAGTTCAGTTCATGACTCTCTGTTATGGCTGCTAATATCACCGAGATCACATTCTTCCTTCCATGATATCCTTCTTTCCATGATATCATTTAACCATGTGATCGCTAGGAATCATCTATCTTCATGACAATCCAGCTTCGATCATCGATATGACGAGCGCAGAGGTTTTGAGCTACTCTTCCGTATTGCTCAGTGATTTTTTGCTCAATGAACCCATTCGTTATCGAAGATTATCTAACCGACATATTTCTCAACGTATCATCTAATAGTATCTGAAGAAAAGATCGCTTATCAACTCATTCATGCCCGTAATAATGCATGTCATGACAAAATACTCTCGCCAGTTTACTTCTTTGAGGTGCTCTTGAATTTGAACACAATTACGCAGAATACTAACAAAGCTGAGGTTCATTGAACATAGTCATACATCAATGTGAAGTACGAGTCGTTCTGGCACGAGAGGTGTTAATGTGCACTAAAAATTTTCATTTTCCTCATTGGAATGGAATATGCCCATTGACTACTAATGGGTTCATCTATAATCGTTGTCTAACGAAATGATGTTCTTATGTTGGTGATTCTCTCGTTTTCTGATACATTTGACGAAATATTCGTTCAGTTTGAAATAATTTCAGATGTGGCGGCTGCCTATATTCTTGTTTATTTCTTGTTTCATGACTCAAACGCCAACGATATCATGTACCTCTGAGCGTATTACACCGACAACGGTATCTGCTTGCAGTCTTACATGAGATGAAAAAAATTTAAAATGCACACCATATTACTAATTCGTTAAGAATTATTCATTCAACTCGTATTGATACAAAATGAAAATTGCAAAAAGCATTAGCCCGATGCGGGGCTCGAACCCGCGACAGCCAGATTAAGAGTCTGGTGCTCTACCGACTGAGCTAACCGGGCTCGCACAGGCCATCTTCATAAGATACTTTTTAAAGCAATCACACATCTTCATCTTGAGATCCTGAATAAGATATTAGATTCAAAATTTGTGAATGCTCGGAATGGAGATCTGAATCTGGCTCTATGAGATTGGCATCAGTATTCATTCACAGGTGCAATAATTCAATTCAGTGCTACATCGTTAACTTATATGATGCTCATTACAGGCGAAACAGTCAGATTGTCGCAGTTTTATATGTCCTCCTAACATGATCTTAAGACCACTGCCTAACCATCCTTATTCCAAGTACAATCAGTGAGTTACCAATTGAAGCTCTTTGACTTTCGAACCATCATTTGGGTATATCAAATAAAAAATCGTCCAATACAATGAGAATTTGACTGAATCAACAGCTAATTTTATTTTCATGAGTAAAAATGCATCACAGTTTTAAGTTAGTTTTGGAATGAACTTCACATTCAATTCGGGAATATTTTTAAAGAAGGAACTGACTGAATCTAGCGTAACAATAATGACACTTCAGTTCATTTGATAGCGCAAAAGTATATCGGCTACCAAAGGTGCTCGGCGAAGAACACCAAGTTGTTGCGATGCCGCAGTTGGCTGCTTCTCAACCTCGAGTTTTCAAGCTTCCGAAGACTCCTGATTCAGTTGATCGATTCTATTTGAATGGTCAAACATCAAATGGACGAGTGGAGAATCATCGAGAGCAATTGGCATTTGATGATCAAATGTAATATTCTGATTGAATAATGTCAAATAATAATTCATCTTCTCAAAATAATTGAATATTTTCAGTGCTAGACGCATGAGTGCCGAAAACTTGGGTCAATTCTACGTACCAGCAAGGATCAGTTCAACTCCTCTAATAGCATCATCTCTTCATTCACCACCACCACCACCACCA